AGAAAGTTTGTCGCCGGCTCGTCGCTAATACTATTAGCGGCGACGTGTCGTCGCTAAAACGTCGACGCTGATACTTTGTCGCTATTAATTAAGCTGTCGCCGCTAATGCGTGGGTGTCGTCGCTAAAGACTTGTCGCCGCTAATAAGGTCACGTCGCTGCTAAAGACTTGTCGCCGGTAATAACCTATTGTCGCCACTAAAGGCGTCGCCGGTATTGGTGTTTTTCTTTTATTATATATATATATATATATATATATATATATATATATATATATATATATATATATATATATATATATATATATATATATTTCACATTAAAATTAAAAAAAAAAAACTGGTATGATATTAATTAATCTAATCCTATATCATTCCATTCCAAAATATTAATACAATATCCGTTTAAAATTACTCGTCTGATTTAACATATAACAAAATATCGAAAATCCTAGTTTAAAATACTTGCACAAATAAAACATAAAAAAATCCTACAACTATCTACTCGTCATCATCGCTCTCCTCGTTTCCTCCGGTTTCATTTCGTTGTGGCAATGAACGAAACCAATCTTCAAGTGCAGCACTACATGCCGGATCTTTTAACATTGTTTGAAGCATTTCCAACTACAAATAAAACAACATAGTCTTATAAGTTAAAATAGCATTATAACATTCTATATACAAAATATACATTCCACATATTGCGTATAAAACATTATAACATTGTACTATAACTAACAATTACTAAATTTTGAAACTATTACTAAACTAACAATTACCAAAACATGTTAAACAATTACCAAAATTAAATAGTCTTGTCACCTGTGATTGTGGTGGTGGCTGTGTCAGTGGTTGTTCTTGATCGTACATCGACACAACCGTAGAAGGTTTACGCCCGATGCCTCTGATATGGCCACGTCGAACACCTAATATTTTTTCAAAACAATTTTGTGTATCCTTTGGTGTTAGACCGCTGGCTTCAGAAGATGCTTGAGTTTGTTGACTGATCTCAAAGAGTAAAGCATTCTGTATTTTCAAAAAAGAAATAAATATAATAAAAATTAGATTACTAACTACCCTTTGACGATATAATCACTTATATGATAATAAAAATTAACCACTTACGTATTGTTGCTCGACTGCAGGACTACTAAACACCCCTTGGCGATCAGTATTGGCCTTACGAAATGCTTCGATTCGAGCGATGTCCTATTTAACATTAAAAATTAGATTAATTATAATTTAAATAAACAGTTAAATATATCATAGCTTACTTCTTTGAAACATGCATTGCTATACGAGCACGATCCCCCTCGGTTTACAACTTGTTGTTGTGCACGGACTCCTTTGTTTGACGCCGAACGCTTTAGAAATTCAGGAGTTTGAAAATGCTCGACTGCTTGTGCCCAATTTTCACGTGACATACCATCGGGGGGGGTTGGCTAATGCCCTTGGGATATCTGTAAGCCCCCCGACATTCTCAAAATAAGTATGCGCTTTATTTTTTCGGCCTCTATAAATTCTTTGCAAGGTCGCGTCAATGCTCTGCAACAATTGAGCACGCTCGGGATCCAAGTTAACCTTGTCTAAATCAAACTTATTCTACAAATACAAAAAAGTTAGTTAGTTAAATACCAATTAGAACTAAACTTAAAATATTGTCCAAGTTACCTTTAAATGAACCACTGTGGCATTCCTTAAAGCGGGGGAAACATTATCCCAACCAGATACGTTCAAAGGGATGTTCATCCATATATACTTCCCAATCTCACGGGTAAACCAATTACCATGGTTCCCGACAGGGGAATATGTCAGCTCCCTATCGAAATCCAAATCTACAGGCTTTCCCTTGTTTGCCCTTATTATCTTTGATAGTTGAATGTTTTTTGCTAGGCCTCTTCTTTTTTTAGGGAGCTCAGCTGAAAAATATAATTAAAAATATTAGTCACGATAGCTTATAATAAATGGATAAAAACATCTAACAAATATATCATAATAAGACTTACCATCCTGTTCGTGTTGACCACGACCAAAGCCTACGGGAGGTGGTGGATCCTCGGCTCCATCACCTCCATGTCCTAAACCCATAACATCTGCCATCACGTACAAGAGTATCGCCCAACTAAACCCCATATACAGCCTGCAAAATTACAATATGAATAGAATTATAGCAACATATTTTTTTTTCATTTTTTTCAACATATCACATACATAAATACATTTTTTTTTCATTTATTCCACATATTACAAACATAAATACACACGTTATATATACAAATACACATAATCTTGTTTTCTACACATACTCATTATAACATCATACTTTTTTTTTTCTATTATAGCAACCTAACTTTTTTTGATTTTTTTCATACATACAAATTGCATATATAATTTCAAAACTCATACATTACATATATAAATACATTTTTTTTCGATTTTTTCTACATATATACATACATAAATACGTACATTATATATACAAATACACATAAACATGTTTTCTACACATACTCATTATAACATCATACTTTTTTTTTCTATTATAGCAACATATTTTTTTTCATTTTTTTCAACACATCACATACATAAATACATTTTTTTTCATTTATTCCACATATTACAAACATAAATACACACGTTATATATACAAATACACATAATCTTGTTTTCTACACATACTCATTATAACATCATACTTTTTTTTTTCTATTATAGCAACCTAACTTTTTTTGATTTTTTTCATACATACAAATTGCATATATAATTTCAAAACTCATACATTACATATATAAATATATTTTTTTTCGATTTTTTCTACATATATACATACATAAATACATACATTATATATACATATACACATAAACATGTTGTCTACACATACTCATTATAACATCATACTTTTTTTTTTCTATTATAGCAACCTAATTTTTTTTTTGATTTTTTGCATACATACTAATTACATATATAATTTCAAAACTCATACATTACATATATAAATACATTTTTTTTTCGATTTTTTCTACATATATGCATACATAAATACATACATTATATATACAAATACACATAAACATATTTTCTACACATACTCATTATAACATCATACTTTTTTTCTATTATAGCAACTTAATTTTTTTCATTTTTTTCATACATACAAATTACACATTCACATTCACAAATAAAACACATACAAATAACATACACATACAAAAAAAATACTAATGTAAAAACACACAAATGCATAATACACATATAAACACATTCTATTTATAAAATGAAAGATGAAAAGGAACCTGTGGTAGTCTAATTTCAAAATTTTCCGGCAGAAATTCCACAGTTCCGGCAACAACTCCGGTAACAACTCCAACAGCAACACAACCTTAAATTAAAAGGTTAAACTAAGTAAATAAACATCAAAACATAAGAAGAATCGGAAATAGGGAAGAATTTTGACCTTAAATGGGTAAAAATTCCGGAATTGAGGTAGGATCGTCTCCTCTTGGTCGTCGGTAATGGAAGTCTAGGTCGCCGGTATTGGTAGCAACCGAGGTTTGGATGGCGGTGGTTTGTGCAATGGATGTTTGGACGGCGGCGATTGTGGTGTAAGAAAGACCGGCGAAGTCGATGGAGAGAATGAGAGAAAAGGCAGAAAGAATACGCAGGAAAGAGCGAACTGGAGGGGTTATCTGCGCAGACTTTTAGCGGCGACGCCTATTAGCGGCGACGTATGGGTATTAGCGGCGACGTATAGGTATTAGCGGCGACAAGTCTGGAGGGAAAAGTCAGCGCCTTTTTTCACACCGTTACAACCGTTCGATTGAATACAGATCGAACGGATAGGGTTCATTTGACACGGATCGCTACTGTTGACTATTAGCGGCGACAGCTTTAGCGGCGACATTGGGCATTAGCGGCGACATGTAATGCGTCATTTACATGTCGCCGCTAATGCCTGATATCGCTGCTAAAGCCGTCGCCGCTAATACTCACATTTCTTGTAGTGTACCTAAAAGGCACTAGCCAACCGTTAGCAACAAAAAATATAGTTACGAGTCCAAATTTAATAAAACATTAGAAGAAGAATACCAAGACAACCAATTTAAGTTTTGCTTTCTTGCCCTATATTTAATCCAAACAAAACTCATAGCTTTTATTCCTCAATGATCATCGAGGGAGAAGTAGGCTTGTTCAACACATCTCGTATTCCAAATGAGCCAAATGACTAAAAAGAAGATGCCACCCAACAATTTACGTTCAGGAATTCAATCGACGTACGAGCAACAACAATGAATTCTAAGATAAGGGAGACCCAAAGAAAGTTGGTACCATATGAATCAAATAAACCAGATGGTTCACACCATTGACCAATGACATTTAAAACTAGGGGTGAACATGTGTCAAGTTGGTTCGGTTTTGGGGTAAACCCTAACCCAACCTGCGTATTTCGGTTTTTTGGTTTTAGAACCCAACGGGTTCGATTTCTAATCGGGGTCGGTGATCGGTTTATGGGTTCAACCCACACTAGTACATAAGATATTTGATGATGCGGTTAATATAATTTGTTAATGCGGTTTTCTGACCGCACCAAAAAATATGGCATTATAAAATAACACTATTTGATTATGCGGTTTACAAACCACATTAAAAAACTGTGGAAACCGCCTTATAAGATATTAAAATTAAAATAACAAATCACATTAAAAATCAGGAACTATTCTATTAAATATTAGCACTAAAAAATCAAAAACTATCATATTAAGTAATCGTACTAATAAATAAGGAACCGCTATATTAAATATTAGCACCAAAAAATAAACAACCGTCCTATTAAATAATCGCACCAGTAAATCGGGAACCGCTCTAGTAAGTAATAGAGCCAAAAAATAAGAAATCGTACTATTAAATTTTATATATATATATATATATATATATATATATATATATATATATATATATATATATATATATATATTCAACACAAAAGAAAAACCGCAATATAAAAAATAATATATCATTTAAAAATCATCAATAAACAAAAACATAGTTTTTAACAAAACTTCATTATACAAAAAACCAACAATTTCTAATTTACATTTTAGTTATAATAAAACGCAAAACATTATAATTCTTAGAAAGTTCTTTTCCGACTATCGTTCACCATCTTAATTAAACGAGGTATTATTTCTGAGACCATATCTTCAAGTTTAACGGGCGTAACAAAACTATTCTTTTTCCATAATTGCAACAAACAATATATATATATATATATATATATATATATATATATATATATATATATATATATATATATATATATATATATATATATATATATATATATATAAACACATAAAATATTGATATTTTAAATCTATACAACATACTTACTTTATTTTCAAAATCATGTTGAATAGTCTCAACAAACTCCTTCATATGTTTTATTACTATAAATCCACATTCTCATCTACCTTTTTGCTTGTTGCACTGTATTTAATTCACAATAACTATTTCAAACCACTTGAAATACATTGATAAAAATTAATAGAAAACATACATTTACCGTTTCTCACTTATTAACTCGTCCCGAGAAAACATTATCAATGAAAGAAAGAGAGTGGTAAACGTCCTCTTTCTTTTCTTGCTTCTTTTCATTATGTAAAGAATCAAGAATATGACCACATTTGCTTTCAGGATATAGGATAGAAAGCAACTAATGCATACTGTAAAAATAAAAATTATTTAACAAGTAAGCATATATGTGTATTGTGTATTTATATAAGTGTAGTGTGTATATGTATGTGAACGTATTATGGAAAGAAAAAAAAATTACCCCTGTAAATATAGAGCAAGAAAATATCGTTTGCCTTTATGATACGAAAATACTTCTTCGATATGTTTAGTGACGGGCGACAGGTCTGTTTTAGTATCTAAGCGTGCAATGCAAAGCGGATAAAAAAAGCACATTCGGAATTGGGCGACCTAAAAAGAAGCCTATATATATATATATATTACACAATGTTAGTAAAAATTAATTATATCTAAAAAGTTATTATACCATATTAAAAAACATAATAATAACTTACATCGCAAACCAATGAATAACACTATGATCAAGCCAATCTCTTAAAAGTAGTTTTAATACCTCGATATATTGGATGGTAATTTGAACCCCACAGTGATACATCCATTTGGGTGAAAAAATATTAACAACATTTGCATTCCCAAAAAACTCTACTACTTGAAAACCAACAGATTGAATTTGAGGTCTTTGTTCTTGTAATTCGCTTAAGGATGTAAACAAGTCAGGTTCTTCATGTGTAAGGAATTCAAGTTTGGTTTCGGATTCAGATTCGAGTTCGGATTCAAATTCGGGTTCGGGTCTGGCTCTGGGTTTGGGTGCATTTAAATCAACTTGTGGTGGATTCGTTGATAACATCTACAGACAAACACAAAACATTAGTAATTAGATATGATTATATACAAACATAAAACATCTAAAAAAACATAATATGTCTAAAAATGAGCAAAAAACAAGTTTTTAAGACTAACCATATCAACTAAACCACCTTGAAAATGTTCATTAATTTCATGTTGATAAGCAATGTGGTTTTCCACAAACTAAAATAACAAAAAATTATCATAATATTATCAAAATAATACTAAATTAACAAAAAATAAGAGTGAACCGGTTGAATACGTGTGGACGATAAACTAAAGTCGTCATGATGTCATCAACATGTATGTGTGGTGAGGCGCAATTCGATCCTATTCTCGTGCCACTATTTGATTTGCTAGGTGTCTTGTTCACAAGCTACAATATTTCGCACTAAAAAAGCTATTCTGTACTAGTGCCATGTGTTCACGAGTTTTGGGTTTAAACCGATTTTTAAGAAAATGTAAATAAATTAATAAATTAATTCAAAATATTTTTCAAGCCATTTAAAGCAACCAAAAACACCAAAGTCTTTACATAGTTCAAAGAAATATTAAAACAACAAAGTTTTGAAACTCATAACCAAACATGAAAATCAAAGTAACATAAAATAGTTGGGTGGGTTGGGTCGGGTTTGTAGGATCCCATGAAAATGATATTGCGAAATTAAGAACAATCAACATGAATTAAACGATAATGAAAAGAACACAAGGTGTAAATAATTATGTTTAAGCTCAATTGTTTTCTGGAATATAATCTTCAAGTGTACAAAATATGAAATATCAAAACTCTCTCTTCTAACACACAAGACTACAACACTATATATAGTAGTATTATCACAGACTCCAAAATATATATAGTGTGACTATGGCCTAAAATACAACCTCAATGCTCACACTAAAATAGAAAGATGTATCGAAGGTCCTTCCTTTTGATATAGACAACTCAATTTCTCTATCTATTTCTCAAATGCCTTCTACACGAGAAATGTCACATCATCATATATAATATCTCTTAACTCAACATCCCCCTCCCCCTTTTAAATGTTGGATCTAATGAGGTACACGTTTTTCTTACATGGTATTCTCCCCTTAAAAGTGTGAGAATCATCAACACCCCGGGAATGTGTAGGAGAGAGGAACATATTTGAAAAATGTCACCATCAAAACACATAGATCTGAAAATTTGAACTTCCCCTTGAACAATCAACCCCCTCCCCCAGTTTGAACATACAACACTCCCCCTTTATGAAAAATCATGATTTTTTTATAGATATGAGAATGTTGACTCTCTTAATGGTTCAGAAGGAATGTCGAAAAAGAAAGGTTGTGAAGCTCTGAATGAGAACATTAACTTTTGAATGAGTCAAATGAGAACTTCGGTATCAGCATCCAAAAATTTGACATCGGCATCAATGTCAAAAAATGAACAATACCTTCACTATCAATTTCAAAAAAAAAATCTTAGATCTAAAAAATTCGACTTCGTTATCAATAACAGAGATCTGAAAGCTTCAGCCTTCCCTATCAATGCCGAAAAGTTGAAAGCTTCGTCCTTCCCTATCAATGTCGAAAAATGAACAGTTGGTAGATGTCATTTTATGCATCTTTTAGGATAGTTTTTATCAAAATTTAGCATCATAATTTGCACATTTGCATGCCATTAGTTTAAGTAATGTTCAACTCATGTCATTTATTAGAATTATCGTACTGCTCATGTTATTTTTTCGGATAATTCGAGTGGAGTAGTACTTTACGAGCAACTTTGGATGCGTTTGATGGTGCATTTGAGTTAATTGGAGCTTGGAATTTATGAAGGATTATGAGGAATGATTGGAAGCTGTTTTGGTCAAGAAAAATTTGATCAAATTGATCCTATGAAAATATATTACTACATTTTAAAGCCTAAAGGATGTTGCTGACAGCTTTGATCCCCTGTCAGTATTTTGACCATATCTCATGACTCGTAACTCCAATTGACAAGATTCAAAATATTCCAGAAACTACACAAAATTTTGAACGACTTTCATGTTAACAAAAAATCAAAAATGCAAACACATTTTTCCAATATGCAATTGTATTTGTTGGTCGAGGTTTTGTAGGATTGAAAAATGATCAAGGGAAGAAAAATACAAAAAATGTGATCGCATTTTGCCCATTCTCCGATCGCATTCCTATGTCGAAGTTCAAAAAATGTCAAAAATAGCATCATACTTCATTAAACAACATTCTGAAATATTTTCAACAAAAAGGCAATCGCATTTTCTCATAAATACGATCGCAAATTTTTTTCTTGCTTCAGAAGCTTTTGACTTGCATATAAATACAACCTATTTGATTCGATCAAAGGTTAGCCGATTCCTGAAGCTCCAGACGACGAAAAGATGATTTCTCTATAATTTTAGTGATGCATGAATATCTGAAGACTGTAGATTGTGTTCTACGTTTAGTTTAGTAAGATTCAGTTGTGTAGTGTTTCTCTTTACTAGTTTTTATCTAATTTTAGTCATGTATGGCTAGAACCCTAGTTTTTAGTTATGTATTAGACTAGAATTTTTCATGTGATCAGTTATCAGATTTGGTTTTCATTGTGTTCTTCTATCTTGTTGTTTCAGTTTTAAGCTTAATGAATGTTTGATTTTAATTCTTGTTAGCCTAATGACCTAGCTATGGTTTAATCATTATAGTTAATCAGTTTATAGAATATGTAATTGTTCTTCTCAACTAGTAATAAATAAGAAATATCATATTTGTTCCATATTGGGATTTAACTCTGATATAAACTAAAATATCATACATTTAGGCTTCTGAGGTTGTGATAAGTATTAGGTATGGTTGGGAATTCTACACATATCTTAATGCAACTTTCCTGATCTTAATTAAGAGCTTGTTTAATTAGACAGTGAAAAGTTAGTGTTAACTGAAGAGATTATTTTGGTTAATTTAATTGGATAAAAGAGATTATACTATAGCCTGTTATTTTTTCTCAATACCAACTTAGATAGAACATATTTTTCATAACCACATCTTGGTTGGTTACATGAATAGGAAAATTGAGCAGAATCGAATTCGTTTTTATTATTGATTTCATTTAGTTTATTTCACTACAACTTTTAGTTTTAGTTTTAAATCAGAATCAACTTTTTTATATTTTCTGTTTTGATAAGTTTGTAATTTACACAAAGAGGCATTACCATTAGGTTGTGTCTGTGAGGATTCAAACATGCTTCCTTATGCTATCCTTTAGTGAAACCAATAAGTGAAAATTATTTTCTTAAATCATAAGCGACAGCTTTTTAACAACAATACATTCGCTATCAATGTGGAAATTTTTTCTCAGATCTAAAATTTTTGACCTTGCTTATCAATGTTGAAATTTTTTCACAAATATGAAAGCTTTGACCCTTAGACCTTCGATACTCAAGACTTCATAACTTCGACATCCAAAACATCCATGAAAAAACTAAAACACATTATTTTTTGTTTTTCGAGTTTTCTGAGGCTTCAAACAAAAAGGCAAACAAAACAAATATCTTCTTGAGTTTTCTAGGGTTTTCCGAGGCTTCAAAGAAAAACAAAACAAAGACAAAAATCTTTTTGTGTTGTTTGATTTTCTTAGGAATTAGACCAAAATAAAAGAGACGAAACAAAAATAAGATGGAAAAAAATGTTGTTTAAGAAAAAAATTCAGTATCAAAATTGATTATGAGAAGTGAAGGATTCGCTATCATAAAGAAAACTTAGATATCACGTTGGAAACTTCATAATTTTCATAGACATTGTTATCAAGTCCATGTAACCCCATATGTCGAATACTTTTCACCAAACCCATTGATGTAGAGAAACCTTACACCAAAATTTTTACGATCTCGATGCCCAACTCTTTTCTTCCTAAAATTCATTAACGATGAAGACATAGAGCCCAAAATCATGCTTTCCAACTAATCATGCTTCCCAACATGACTTTACAATTGTACACGAGCCCCAATACCCAATTTAGTAACACCTTTTAAGACCAACTCAAATTAACCAATTAAATTGTAACACTTTTCTCGACATATTAATAAACTCATGACTTTTATCTTTTCTGGCATGGAAAATTGAATAGCAATACACAATGATCAATTAGTAGTCAATGCTTTCATCATTTTCCAAAAAAAAAAAAAACATTACGGAGACGGTCTCTACACTTTTTACGATACCCATCATATATATCTTTGTCTTTTTCTAACTTATGAATAGTCAACGAATCTGATAAGCTGTCACAAATAGATTTGAACACATTTTGTGAGAAAGAAATAGTACACTTCACTTCTAGCTTTATCAACTTTTCAGAGGTGTAGAGAAGTCATTGTTCACGATTTGTAACGAGTCGGAAAGACAACATACACAGTCGCATGTTGTAGGAGAAACATACACTACTTAAGACATTATCAGACTCCAACATATGCGTTTGACCCTTCTAACATATCACATCTATTGTCTCCATTTGACCCAACATCATCTTCAAACAAATACATAGTTATTTCCTCATAACCAATCATCATTCGAAATCAACAATTTTTCAAACTATTCAAAATCAAAGCTTTAATCGAGACCCATCTTCCCAAAATGTGATATCAACATTAATTGTAGATCACATGGTTTTTGGAGTTGTTCCTATTTGATTTTTTATTTTGGGCCAAAGAAATATTCGGATATGGTTCAAACATAAGGCACAACGATATTTGTTTAATGAATCCTTCGACATAAAAATTTCTTAACCATCGACTTGAAAATCCAAAATCATTTTGAACATGCATGTCGAAGTCATTTGCTTCCCCTCAAAATTAGCTTCGACATTAACATGCCCTTTTAAGAATCCACTTGAAATTGAGAACTTGAGAAAAATCCTTCAAAATTATGAACTAAATAACGAAGATCCAATATCATATTTCTAAGAATAAAATGAATTTATTGGCTCTATGGTGAGAACTAAAAAATTACTAAATATCATATTGTACTAACTATGCGACTTTTTCTCAATTCTCCAATAACGAAATTTGTCATCATGTTGAATTTGAGAACTTTCGACATTTTTGGCTTTGAGAGATTCGACTTTTTTTACTTTGAAGATTTGTAATCAAAATACACAACATCTTTCTTCACAACTTCGACATTGAACTTTTAAATCACATCCTTTGGAGTTTGATACATTTGAACATATTGAATTTTGGGCTTTTTGTAAGGCATAATTCCTTCAAATGAATCACAAGAACATGAACAATCTTCAGTTTGAATTCCAATAGAACA